GGGTAGTGAGCAGGGTTGCGTATTTCGAACAGAATGAAATGAGTAAATTATTGGACGAGGTGAATTCCCAAATGTTTTTTTTATTGAAGCCATATTTTTTAAACGCGATTCGACATATGACTATTTTCTGAGTTTTTTTTTTTTTCATTGTGTGTGAACGCTCAGTAATCTGTCTGAGTGATGTATTCTATGTTATCAGTAGTTCATGAGTTGGCAGAACCTATTACAACAAAAAAGTCGCATAAAATTACATATCTCTCATTGACTCCCAAGTATTCGAGATTTGATTCGAACAAAACAATTTGATTCAATGCTGAAATCATCAGGTATTCAAAAATGCCCAGCTATTTAAAGTTGATATGGGCTAGTATAGATATGGGTACAATAACTTTGCTTGGGCGGCGCAGTGAGGAGCGTACCCATCGTATGTTTTGTAGGACTCAAACTCATAAAACAATTCAAAGATACAGATATAAATTAAACCATTATTTGGATGCTCAACAGTATTGATTGCCCATCCTACCATCCTACCGTAGTTCCATTATTGTTCACTACATTTTGAGACTCGAATATTATATTACAATAATACAGCAACTGACTTAAAATCATTTAAATCATTTCAAAAAATTATTTTTTATGAATTCTGCCATCGAATGCAAGAATATTTTAATACGCCTTTCGAAAAGCTATTAAAATTTGCAGCTTCATAATTTAATAATTGTCTAGTACTCAAAATAGCCATCTACTCGACTTGGTTGTTACAAATGGCAAGAGACTTGGCTCGCCAATTCCTAAAGCTTAAAGCCAGTGAAGATTAATTACGGCCACTGTCCACTAACTGCTTTCTCGTAATGTTATTCTATAATGGTTTATTCGCCTGTATAGCCAGGCTATCCAAACGCTCTGGAGATTTTATGTACACAGCAGTATGTTCTGACAATGAATATGTCATTTAGGATTTAGTATATTTGAGACCTGTAAGTTATAAAATGAGTAGTGCTTATTGTTTACTCTGTAAATAAAAATGTTCCTTGCGCAACCATTTGCTATCTAAATAACCTGGCGTGGACTGCCGATATTGTTTTATGTAAGAGTATTCTTATAAATTATTTGTCGTAAATTAACCACAAATCAGTAAACTGCTTCAAGTTTTATGATCGTGCTTGGTTTGCACTGAGTGGAAGGCCCTCGTGGAATGAGAGATATATTCACGAATGTGTAATATATCATTTCTTACGGTCGGGGTTTAATGAATTCGGAATGTGTGGATCTGTTGATTAAAAAACCATTATATTTCAAAGTTTTAAGATATTGCCAAATATACTTCGTGACCAGCCTACTATCTGACTGCAACGTTATAATATATGCATTTGTAAAAAACGTTAAACGATAGATTGAATTTTACAGAAAATGGTCGAATTTATTCTGACGTCACATTGCATTTCGTGGAAACCAATTAAGCATCACAATGAATTTTACACGTGATTATAAGTACAAATATAACATCATCATCATCGTCATCATCATCACAAATTTTTAATTGACAACCCCCCCTGTTCTTGTCTAAATATTGTGTTAGTTCATTGCTCTCCTGTACTATATGCGCTAATTGTAATCATTCACTACTTTATGAAAGCATGGATGATTTTTATGTGTTTGAATGAATGATAAATTATTGTTTGATCGAACATGAGAGCATGGCTGGAATTTATAGACATTAATGCGGTATTCCTGGGATCTGACATAAGAAACTTGCTGCGTATCAGCTTATGTATGCATAACAAACGGATTGAAAATACCAAACTTTTCACAAAACCAGCAAACTTTGAATGAAACTATAGTCCTCTAAAGATAGAATGTGTTTAAAAAATATAGCAGCACTTCCATTTTAGTAAACGCTCATGAGAAGTGAATGGTCTGATTTTTATGGCATGGATATAATTGTTTTTATCGCGCCTTCCACAATAATTAAAACGCACTTTATGCAATCATTTGGTATTTAAATCTTGAGTGTATTTTCATAAATTATTATGGATCATGAAGTGACCACCGATCGTTTAACTGTATGTTTTTTAATCGCGCTTAGTTTGCTCTGAGGGAAATATTCGTGTAAATTCAGCGCGTAATTAAATTTTATTATTTGTGACACACAATATATAAATCGTTTCCTTCCTGGTTTAAAAAAGTGGATTTAAATAAAAATCATTTCAATTTTTCTGGAAGATGCTGTTATGACTGTGACGTAATGACTGTGTGAAAGCCAAGCAACAAATGTTTGTCAAAAATAAATTTAATCATAGATAATATATATTCATATATATACGTATAACAAATTCCCTATCTCGGAAAATGTTGTGTATTGTGTTTATGTTTGTATCTGACTGAAAAGATATACATGCATTCGGTGAACCTTTTACGTAGTATTCTGCAATTCTGAATATCTATCTGTATCTTCAAGGCCATCAGGCGCAACTTTTCAAAATTCATTTAACAGGAAGGCAATAATATTATTTCTCATGTAGCGACTTTTCTTGGGGTTTTCCCCACCTATTAACAAAAATATGCAGTATTCTTTTCAAAATAAATTCACTATGAAGACGTTAGTTAAATATCGTGTAACTGCCCTACTTTAATGAAACCTCACATTTAATATTATTGGAGAATATCATACTGCCATTCCCTTTTTTATTGGTGTCCCTTTGTGGAAAAAAATTGAGAAATGAAGTCAGATCATAATTTATGTCTTCCTTAAATGAACTTGTTTGTCATCTAGGATTTAGTGTATTTGAGTCGAAGGATTCAATAATACATCTATATTGGTCGCCATGGCGATCTGAAAATCATGTAGTTGTTGCCCAACTGATCGTTTAAAATCGCGTCACCGTCGGCCCAAAGTGGACTAACTAAGTTAGGGTAATGGCTGTTTCGTCTCCGTCTTTACCTGGTTTTACTTTGAAATGCTGAAAGTTTCTCGCGCATTCGCAACTGGCCACGGCGAAACCATTGGGAACCCTTACATTGCACCGTTTTTCTTTATCAATTGAACCCTTTCATTTTTCGGTGTTCCGCGAGGTGATATAAAAAGTGTAAGTGGTAAACTGAAAAAGGGAAACTCAGTAATATAAGATATAGTCACGTAGGGAAAAACAAAATATTTATCATCTATCACCTGAAAGAAATATGCGGTGCGGTAACCTACCAGTACCATACCTGTACGCCTGATATTCGATCGCGGGAACGCCTGAAATGATTTAAAAACAGTGTTCTATAATTTTGACGTCACAATCACTAACGCTTAGACTTATCTTGATACATTTTGGCGAAACATCACTGTCCATCGGCTAAATGCTTGATTGAAACATCAGCGCAACAGTTATTACAAGATAAAATTTTATAATTTTGCACATCCCTAAACGTGTCGTTGGAAGTGAATTTTCAGTAAACAGAAAGGTTGGTGATGAGCACAGACAATTTCAAAAAACTGGGAAATGCAATATTTTTTTTTGAGCATATGAGCATCCCGATATGTTTTATCTGCACAGTTAAAGTTGCAGTGCACAAAGAATACAATTTAAACAAGTTGCTAAGCTTTTATTGTGAAAAACCTGATGCGGCCCGGACTCATCCAGACTCTGCCCCGGCGGCCCTCAAGTAAATTAAGTTTGAGACCCCTGATCTAGAAGCAAGCTGTAGCCGACACCCTACGACAGGGGTCGGCAACCTACGGCCCGCGGCGCTTCACTGAATTATAGTAAAAAAACAGTTGTTTTGACGATTATATTCTTTACGTAATAGAATTTGTTGTGAGACATGTATAGACTAAATTATATTATAACCTAAAAAGTATATAATTCACAATTACTCGTTTAATGAGCCCATAATTCAATTATAATTAGACAAATGGCAACAAAACGCTGAAAAGTTGATGCTAAATGCAAACGTTCAATAACGCCGAAAATATTCGAACGGGATATTTGGAAAAGCAATTAGGAACTATATCTATGTTTTATTCGAGAGATGTATCACTGCTTGATTTTTATTATTATAAAAAGTAACATCCGCTCGGTTTCCAACTCTCTAAAAATATGTGCGGCCCGCCAATGACTTTCAACCCTTAATTTTGGCCCGCGAGCGACAAAAGGTTGCCGAACCTCGCCCTACGGAATCCAACAAACCTCTGGCACATAACAATCTCAGGCGGAATTGAACCTACGACCCTATGAAGGGTAATCTGAGGTGCGATGGTAAGCGTATTTCTAAAGCTTAGCGGCGTGCGCCATTCGCCGCGCCTGAGGTTAGTTAGTGTTAGTGTGCGCTCGATGTCATAGCTGCGTCAAGCATCCAGAAAATAAAATGCATCATAAAAGGTTATATTTTCCCGGGAAGAGGGGATAACAGGCTAATTTTTAAAGGTGTTTCGAAAACGCTTTCATATTCACATATGTACTCGGATACGACGATTTCAAACCGCCAAGATGTCGTGAACTTGAGAGTTGTCTCGTATGGTCGTACCTGTATCATGGTCGCTTTTTACCAAGCGATTAAAAGTATTTTAAGGCTTTATTCTAGCCACTTAGCTAATGCATTGCTAATATACTGGGCTAACATTAGCAAAGTTTTTCAATGCAGTCAGAACGGGTGTGCGATTGTATGTCAGAGATTGACTCTAAATCTTAACATTATGAGTTGTTGTCATCGGTTTGCAGTCGTCTTGACAATACATTTTTATATACTTCGCATAGAACCGAGATTAAGGCTGGGGTATTATGCCTCGAACTTTTGGGTTTGGCGGATAATTTACTGGAAGCTAGAAATTATGACGGTTACAAGTAGTGTGGAGCAAATACCGACTACCATTCACATTCGGTAAATTAAGTTTTGTGATCATGAGTCAGAAGCGTGATCGGCTCGTAGCGATTCAGAGATAACCAGGAGTAATCGGAGTAATTATTTGATTACAAATGATTACTTAGTGTTTTCGTCAAATATTTCGCGCGGAAGCCACGAGCGACATCGCTTCAGTCGCAACAGTGTGCGGATAAATTTTGTCGTAGGATGATCAATGGATTTTCTTGTTACCTTCGGAGCAATATTCAGGTGAGTGAAATGTACTTGATAACCCATGCTTTTACTGATGTTATATTATTTTCCTCTTTCGATAGTAAAAAAATTGGAATTTGTAACCTAATACGTAAAAATAAATCGGATCACAGAAATAAGTTATTGTTTTGTGATTTATAAGTCTCATAGTTTGAAGTCGCAAACTCCTCTCGTTTTTTTGAATCAAATACAAATTCAACAAAAGTTTCATTCATGAGTAGCGGAGAATACGAAGTTGATAGATTTCACGGCTTATTCAATTCAAGGTCCGATTATTACAAATAGAATCGATCAATCATATACTGTAGAGTGTAGAACGCTCTGAATAATTCTCCAAGTTTGTCTTGTTTTCATTTACTCAACGCTCCACCATGTTAGTTTTATTGGAACAGCTCTGCTGTTTTGTCATTGAGATTTTCGATATTATCGGTTGTCGCCCGTTATCCTTGCGGGCGCTCCAGAAGTGTGTGTAACCAATGATCGCGTCGTTGCGCACGTAACATACCAGTCTCTCACGATTCTTTTAGTTTGGTACAATTAGCCTCGTATCAAAATTAAATTTAACCGCAATCTCAACAAATTCCTTGAAAAGTTATTTTTATCTAAAACATAGGTTCTCAAAGTGCTCCGTACGGATCGCCAGGGCTCCGCGAGAGAAACCCAGGGGCTCCGCAAGCTATTCGATTACTTTTCAAAATACTGACTTGGCTAATTGTGTAACTGTTCAAAGAAGCAATAACAGCTTCGATAAAATCTGACAACAATATAGCCTCGAAATATGACAAAGAGGCGGAATTAAAAAATGACATTATTTGTAAGCAGGAGCACAGCCAGGATTCCTAAGAGTGGTTCAAAATTGGAATCGGAAATTTCCGCAAAACATTCGCGATTAAAAAAAACGGATAACGAGATTTCTGTTGCGTAAAATATTCAATCCATGACCGACGCGAGCATTTACCGTGTCTCGTCGTTATAATGTAATTGTGCTCATCGTTACTCACGTTTGATTCGAGATTACAATTCCGATTACTGAAATGAAAGAATACTATTCTAAAATAACATAGAATACGTGATGAACTGAGTCGTATTTTTGCGATCTTGGGCTTTGTCAAACTTGATTCGTTCTTTCGCACTTGAGATTATATTTAAGCAAGATATCACCGTTTAAAGAATCACATAAAGTCTGGGCAAAATACGAACAATCAAAATTTATTTTATTGCATTCGGCTTCGTCGGTAGTTTCAGAATATAAAAAAGGTATATCGCGGATCGCGCGTACAATCGATTGCGTGCGGCTCCGTCCGTAGTTTCAAAATGGGAAAAAAAGTACATCGCGCGCACAATTGACAGTGTTTCAATTTCGCAGTTACTACGATGAAAACCTAACATAACACCAAATTTTGTGATTGACAATGTCTATAAAACCGTTTTCAATCTGAGGTGAGTCTGCTGAAACCAAACGTGTGATCTCCCATATTAAGTTTTAATATTTTAGAATGCCTATTTTCAATCAAGAATTTCGAGTTGCCGATTTACCTCTTTACTAATTATTATTTTCAGCATTTCGTCGCCGACGATTATAAAATGTTTACATATTTTTCACATTGAACTCATAATTCCCCACGAGAACAAAAAAGCAATTAACTTCGTCATTGTGTAACAATACATGTATATGCCGAGGGAAATTTTTTATTTATGGAGAATAAACACCGACGTAAAGATGTTTAAAGGTTCAAAAATACGCCATGCTGAGGAAAAAATCGGCGATTGTAACAAAATGCAATCGCGCACATTATTAGCGGCCTTTTAAGTCTTCCAAAAATGTAAAAAGGGAAAAGATTTGACCCCTAATTCATTAGTATTTTGCCAAGTGTCAAATTTACAGCTCTAGTATATATAATTTATGTTTGAAATTTAGATTTATTTATGACTTGTATGACTTATGAAGTACATTTAACTTGCTCAGAAATATTATTCTGAAAGTAAAAATTTTAACATTTATTTTGGGGCTCCGTGAATAATAGTCAACATTTTCAAAGGCTCCGCAACACCAAAAGTTTAAGAACCCCTGATCTAAAACATCAAAATTTAGTTTCAGTTTGGTTGTGGAAGTATCAGGTGGGCCAGATTGAATCAAACAACGGTCGGACTTGGACCGCGGGCCGTACTTTGCCCATGTATGACTATATCAATACCAAAACAACGCAACGAAAACAATTTGAACGTAATACTGGAAGTATGTCTCTACGCTAGGGGCTCCCGAAGTATGCGAACCAAGATGGCGGACATCGGAATGTAATATGTGTACTAGGTTAAGGTCAGGCCATAATTTTAGGTATAAATACTACGGGAGGCTCTTGGCTAGTCTTCGAACTGATAATAGGACTAAAATTAGGAAAATTGAAAAAAATTATGGCCTAACCTGTTACCCATGTTACGTTCCGATGTCCGCCATCTTGGTTCGCATACTTCGGGAGCACCCTACGCTATCTATACATGACAAGCTTGATATAAATTCTTAAGGATAAGACGAACCTCAAGTATAACGCCAAGGTTTTTTGTAACTTCGTGATATTTTATTTATTGTACATAAATTTAGTTCAGTAGTAACAGGCAGGAATCATAGTGTTATGCGAAAGCCTAATATCAATATCTTTGCTTTTTAGTAATATGAAATATGGAGTTAAAAGGAAATAAACGAAATTGAGGAGATCTACAATACAGGTAAACAATATTTTGAATATTTTAGTTGACTTTTAGATATTCATTGATTTCCGTAAACAAATGTGACAATTCCACACATTAGTGACTGGAAATGATTTGTCTTTCTATATCTTAAGGATAAGACGAACCTCAAGTATACAGCCAAGGCCAAAAGCCATTTTTTTTTAACTTTGTGATATTTTATCTAATGTATATAGAATTAGTTTAGTTTAGTACAACCTCCGGCCCGCGGAGCACTATAATCGGGCCGGCGACGCTTCACTAAATTATAGTAACAAAACATCCGATTGGCCAAAAAATTCTTTATACTAAATTATATTATAACCTAACAAATATATATTTCACAATTACTTGTTTAATGAGAATATAATTTGATTATAATTAAGCAAATGGCAACAAAACGCAGAAAAGTTGATGCTAAGTTCAAAGGCTTCAATGGCGCTGAAAATATTCAAATGGAATTTTATGAGATGCAATGAGGAAATAAATCTATGTTCTATTCGAGAGATGTATCACTGCTTGATTTTTATTATAAAAAGTACCATCCGTTCTGTTTTTTAACTTTCTAAAAATATGTGCGGCCCGCCAATGACTTTCAATCTTAATTTTTGCCCGCGAGCGACAAAAGGTTGCCGACCCCTGGTTTAGTACTATCAGACAGGAATCATAGTGTTATGCGAAAGCTTATTATCAATAATATCTTTGCATTTTAGATGCAGAAATATGAAATATGGAATTAAAAAGAAATAGACGAAATTGAGGAGATCTACAATACAGGTAAACAATGTTTAAATATTTTAGTTGATTTTAAATATCCATTGATTTCCGTAAACAAATGTGACAATTCTACACATTAGTGACTGGAAATGATTTGTCATATATTCCATAAAACATTGCGTAATTTAATTCCTTAGTATTTGTCAATTAAATCACTAAATTTACTAGAGAAGCAGTTTTTTTCTCAAATTGCTTTATATTTTTAGATGAAAATAGCGAGAAGAAATGAAAGTAAAGGTTTCACTTGCAGATTGCATAATAAGGTACAATATAATAAACTAACACATCTTTCTAAATAAGTAATATATGTAGTTTTTTGTGTCATAAATCATTTTTCCTGTTTGCTTTTTCGTTTTGAAGTATCGAAGACGCCTGTTATGGAGGGATGCTTTATCGAAATAGGTAATCGCGGGAGACGTTGTGATTACCACAAATAGTAAAATTTCATTTTTCCTGTTTGCTTTTTCGTTTTGAAGTATCGAAGACGCCTGTTATGGAGGGATGCTTTATCGAAATAGGTAATCGCGGGAGACGTTGTGATTACCACAAATAGTAAAATTTCATTCAATGTATGTCCGATGACCATGCCCCTTTAAGAGCAATTCGGATAAATCTAATGAGCCACAAATTGTAGATCAGTCAGAGTACCATTTTATATACCGGTGCGTGAATCCGATTACAGATACTGACGTGGCAATATTTACCGTTTTATATCTGTAGTTCCTTTCTCATTGATATCATTGTCCGTATTAAATCTGCATAGCATTTTGGTTCAATCAAATCCGTTTTTACCCCAAATGGTAGATCACGCGGGCGTACAATACTAGATGAGTGAGTGCGACAAAGCGTATCAATGTATCGGTGAATCTATCATAGTCGAACTTCCCGTATCGTAACTAAAATAAAATTAAACTTATAATAACGTTACTATATAAATCATATACATCCAATTTTCAAAGTATATCAATATAACCGTAAATCCCACATAGTGTTTATATATCCCCCTTTCCACCTTGTTAGCAGTCATAGTTATCGTCCCATTAATATTCATAAGCTGTATCATATCTGTATAAGATGTATCAGATATCAGCCATATAGATACTTATATCGGTATGGACTAAATGTAGAACCAATAGTTTTGATGCATTTGGGTTTTAATCTGATCCAAGAGCATTTAAAAAAGAAGTTAAAATATGGATGTTGAAATTATTTTTTTTTTGCGTGGAGTTATCATGTTCGTGGTATCTGTTGCCTCCTTAATTTTGAGCCATTTTCGTCCTCACCCATGAGTGTAGAAACAGGATTCTGACTAAAGATGTACCAATGTATCGTTATCGACAATATCGGCCAATTTTTCTGTATTGGTATTTGTATCGGATAAATTTGGACCTGATATTTCCAATATATTTAGCTTTTCATTTTGATTCAGAATCATTTGAAAAATAAGTTAGAATACTGATGTTGAAATATATTTGCTCGAGGTATTGTGTTCGTGGTATTTGTCTCCTTAACTCTGAGCCACACTCGATTACGCCCCAGCGATAAGAAACTGAAATGAAATTCTGGTCCGTTTTTATATATTTATCTGCCAAACTAGCTTTATATAACTAGCCAAGCCAATTTTTATATTGCGTTTTTATGCGTAATAACTTGAAATAACAAAAAACATTAGCTATGATTGAAAGGCTGTATGTAGTCGAATACATGAATACATTAATTCAGAAAAGATTATGCTTTAATTAAGCTTATGCTAAAACATAGACCAACTAGAAAGGTAAATAGGTTTAGCCACCCAATAAGGCAACCCAAAAAAATCAATTTGTAATATAGGCTCTGAAAAGCGTTTTATTAGCCTGAAAATCCGGTTGGATGCAACTAGCTTACACTACATATCTGTTTTACAGAACACTGCTTGTTTCGACAGTTTTTCATTGCATCAAAAGATAAAGATCGAATATACGAATAAGCAAACGAAACCAAAGAATGATCAACAAGTAAATTGTATTTAAATATTTCATTTGAATTTTCGATATCCAGTAACACAGTAATTACGGACCGACAGTAGTTTGTCGTATATTCCAGAGATGTGAAAAAACCTTATTGACAGTTCATTGGTATATTGTAAATTTTCAAAATTGCGCAATTTTAAACTGGCTGACATATTATGGCTAATATTTGGAATTTATAAAATTGAATGACTACAGTACCTGACTACCAAAGTTATTTTAAAAGTAGCTTACATGTGTGTTTCTATGTGTCTTTCCCACTCTTCAGTGGGCAAGATATCACACTTTGAGGATTGCTGTCACAAAGTTGCGATACTACCGTGTTTTCCCGAAAATAAGACTTACCCCGAAAAATGAGACCTAGACCTAGGCTGGATTTTTAAAGTGATTTTAATATAAATAAGCCCTCCCCATAAAATAAGATCTAGTCAATAACGAGACATTTTTTTAACTAGTTGGTAGCAAGAAATCGCTCCTATGCGTTTTAATTTGTTTTGCAGTTGTCTTGGATATAAAACGTGTTATTTATAAGTAAATGGATACCGGTATTCATATTTTGTATATTCCAAAATCTCGCAATTCTCAACTTTGTAAATTTGTTTTCGGTAAATGAAAATATAATGCATCCCCCTAAAATAAGCCCTAGTGTTATTTCCGGAAGAAAATTGAAGTAAGATAGGGTCCATACGTCCTCCTTTTGCCTTGAAAATTTTACGTTCTGCGAGGACGTTCTGAAATATCGAAATATCCCCTTTTTTCGTGAGATTGAATATTCTCTTATGTGTTTGTGATGTGTTATATAAGCAACTTGTAAACCTAAATAGAAACTTTGACTAGAAACTTTATCATTACGCATATGACAAGCAATGCAATGCACCCTGGCGTTTCGTTCTCTATCTAGCTTTACGGGTTCTCAACATATGACTAGACATCACCAACTTATATTAACAGTAAACATAGAAAGCACCGCACAGTGGAACAGTTACAATAAGACTACAAGGATAACCATGGGTGGCGCTATAGGGTATATTACGTCATATCGTAACATCCCCCTTTTCATAAAAAGTACTAATACATTAATGTTCACGGCCCGCATCTACCAGGAGTACGAATGATTCTAGTTCGTGTTCTGCGTTGTCTGAAATTTGGAGTTACCGGTCGCTCACTCGATTCCGTTTCATCTGAACGAGGGGTTTCAGAATTGTTCGCTCTATTTGACGTTAGTTGTGGCTCTGCATGCGAAGATGGTTCTTGTTTTATTTCCTTCTTGTCATCGTATGTTGGTTTTAAAAAAAACATCTATTTCACCTGTAGTCTCTTCCATCGATATTAACGCGTTATGACAATTGCTCAGTACGAGCACTTTTTGCCCTTTGTGAAGCTTAGAAAGTTGTTTTGTGCCACGATCGTAATATTTCTTAGATCTTGCACGTATCTGCTCAATTTTCGATTTGACATTTTTCTCAACTTTCGACGCGAGCAATTTATTCGATATTGGAAGAAAACATCTTGTGCGACGGCACTTTAGCATTTGACTAGAACTGTCCATACCATCTGTTGGCGTATTTCTCCATTCGAATGTAGTTTTTTATACATCTGAACAGTCTCTTCGTGCCTTTTTAATCAGATTCTTTGCTATCTTGACGGCTGATTCGGCTTTACCGTTCGACTTGCTATACAGAATTCCCAACTTCTGGCAAATTCTTGAAATTCAGCATTTGCAAATTGTGGACCATTGTCGGAGATCACTGTATCTGGTTTGCCATGTCTGCTGAAATTCTTCTTACAGCATCTGATCACCGATCTCGCAGTTGAGTTATTCAGTTCGTCGAGTTCCCAGAAATCAGTAATTAAATATTGCTTGTTAAACACAGTAAATAAATCCATGACTATTTTACACCATGGCTGGTTAAGGATTTCACTGCTTATTAACGGTTCTGGTTGATGGTCTCGTCACGCGCATGTTCCATACATACACTACACTGACCAATACAGTCTCTGATTTCTTGGCTCATTCGAGGCCAAAATACTATATCTTGGGCCTTTTTCAAGCACGATTTCAATACCCATGTGACATTCATGAATGCGTTTAAGCATTTCCGGCCTCATTGTCTTAGGAATTACTATTCTATGGCTTTTGTAAAAAACATTGTTTTGGTAGCAAAGTTCATCTCTATAATTCAAGAATTCTTTCAGGCAATCATAGACTTCTCTTTTTGTTTCTGGCCAGCCAACCTTTTTTTGCAATTGCTTATAATTCTGTGTATGATTCCGAATCTGTTTTGGTCGTTCATCTGTGCAATATGCATAATCGGCAAAATTTATCTTGTTTAATTCATTCCTAAAGTTTTTTTCTTCGCTAATTTGAAAAATTTCAAAACTGTCTTTTGCGGGTTGTGGTATATTATCATTTGTGCACAACCTAGAGAATGTATCTGCTATATGCATTTCTCTTCCAGGCTTGTACTGGACTTTTAAATTGTACTTTTGCAGTCTAAGCGGCATTCGCTGTTATCGTTTGGATGCTGCTAACAAGGATTTCCGAAAAATAGCATCAATCGTTTTTTGTGATCACTTTTCGACCAAAAATATAATGATCAAATCGTTCGCATCCAAACACGATTGCCAACCATTCTTTTTCAATTTGTGCGTAACGTCGCTCTGTTGTCGTTAACGAACACGAGGCAAAAGTAACAGGCTTACCTTCTTGTAACAGAGTTGCTCCTAACGCGACTTCACTCGCATCATATTGTAAGGTTACCTCTTTTGAAATATCATAATATTGAAGAACTGGTGCAGTTGTTGCTAACGTTTTGATATTTTCAAACGCATCATCATGTTCTCTCAGCCATTTCCACTTAACATCTTTGTACGTCAATCTATGAAGAGGCTCACAAATTTCTGATAAGTGTGGAAGAAATTTAGCAAAGTAATTAACAAATCTTACAACACATTGTACCTGTTGTACATTTATTGGTTTGGGAATTTCTATAACACCTTGAATCTTCCGTGGATCTGGTAGACCTTTATCAGTAATAAATGACCTAGATATAGAACGGATTTTAGTTTGAACTTGATTTTACTTTTGTTCAATTTCGAATTTCTGATCCTTGCCCTTTTAAAGAGTTTTATTATCTTCTGGTCATGATCTCTTACCGCTTCTTCATATGTTTCCACTTCCAGCAACAAGTATTCATTCAGAACTTCATTCAGTCGCCTCAAAAATTCTTCCGGAGCTGTTGAATTTCCAAACGGCATGCGTTTCCATCTGTATTTAGAAAATGGAGTTATAAAAGTAGTTAATTAGCTACTTTGTTTGTAAAGCTTGATTTGCCAGAATCCATCTTTCGCATCAAAAACAGAAAAAACTTTTGCATTAGCTAAATCAGGTAAAACATCTTCTATGTTTGGAATAGGATAATGAGAATGTCTTAAAGCATTATTTAGGTATTTTGTGTCCAAGCATATCCGCAATTTACCAGTTTTTTTTATCTGCTACCATATCGCTAATCCAGTCGGTAGGTGTGGTAAGTATATCAATTGGTAAGTTTTTTCATAAGATCATTGCGCATTGCGAAGGCAATTCTACGTGGTTCATGCTTTACTGGTAGAGCTTTGGTATCTATTTCTAGATGATAATTCTACGAGGTTGATGCTTTACTGGTAGAGCTTTGGTAACTATTTCTAGATGATATTCTCCCGGAAAACAACCTAGACCTTCAAAAACCTCAGCGTACTTTTCTGAAATATCATCAACAGTTAAATGGTTTTCATGATGTTTGCCTACAATAGATTGTACAGTACCTTGACTTTGGGGTACATAGACCTGCAAAAGTTCCAACTCTTCAAGTCTGAGCTGAAAGCAACGAATGTGGGCCTCTTTCCACGACAATGAAAGACAAATTGTAATTCTTACCGTTGTGTTGGTATGGAAAGTTACATTGACCAAGCGGCCTCAGCAAGCTACCATCATAAAACTTCAGCGTTGCACTACTTTCTTGTAAAGCTAAAGTTTTTGTGCCTGGAACCTTACAACCTTATCACATTACTGGTTTAGCCGCTATTGAGCATACATTTTAACAAAACTGGTTTTGACCACCTTTCGCATTTAATTTCAAATCAACAAACCAGCGAACACCTTTAGACTGAATACTTCCAACAGTCTCAAAATAATAATTTGAGTCGCTTGATTTATTTGCATAATATAGCAGAGTAGAGGTTTCGATTAGTTTGTTTACAAACAGCAGCAAAGTGATTTTTCCTATGGCAAGCGATACACAACACACCATATGCAGGGCAGAATCGAGCCCCCTTTCTGTGACTTCTGCCACAATATTTGCTGAAAGATCAATTGGCTGCCGCATTTTTGTCTATTTCCACAGCCAAGAGTGCGGGAATCCTATTTGTGACAATTGAACAGGAAATATAAACGTACCTTGTCAAAGTAAGACTTACTAGTACACTTCATTCCATATGTGCCACAGCTTCTTCATCGAGTCCAGCGCTTATTGTTGATCCGTCACCGCTTCTGACACCAGGTTTCGTTTTCTATCTAGCTTTACGGGTTCTCAACACATGACTCGACATCACCAACTTATATCAACAGTAAACATAGAAAGCACGCACAGTAGGACAGTTACAATAAGACTACCACGTTTTACAAGGATAACCAAGGACATGAAACATGGGTGGCGCTATAGGGTATATTACGTCATATCGCAACAACTGGGGTTCGTCAAAAGTCCCCTGAAACATTTCTATATAGGGAAACATTTCTATTACCCAGCCTACTAATTGAGAAAATAAATCAAAATTACGATACTTCGTCGAAGATATAAAATCCTGAGAGTTTAAACAACTCGTTAAATAGCTTAGCTGGTTGTAGCTTTACTGGACATGTCAATGACTGTTATATCTTGATCGCTCGCGGGAAGCGGGTCAAAACGGGGGTTTTGTTGGGCGTTTGCGAGGTTGCGGGTCAATCAGGTCACGCCGCGTGTTTTGGAGTTTTAGATGTCGTTTAACGGCGTTTCCGGGACGGGTGAGCGATGGTCCGAGCACTGGGAAATGTTTCAGGTAAATTTGGCGGTGGGGACAGCGACCCCGCAAACTGTGATGATAAAACGCGTGCCAGATTTCTCCCGGTTGTTTGAAACACACCACAAACGTTAGGATAGAATAAATCGCTAGTATATAAACGAAAAGCAATACAGTGCTACAGAAAACCTCGAAAGTGGGTAGTTTCGATGTATGTGACCGCGGATTGAAAATTCGTCTGGCGCGACGACGCGCCCCGCGTAATAACAACCCCGACGACATCTAATTTTTAAAACCACTTTAATAAACCACTCTACTTTTCCCTCGCGGGTAACGTAGCGACCCCCTCTGGATTTCTTTGCACTTCCTCAATAACAAATATCGTCACAGATGTTGCACGCTTTAGAAGTTTTAGATGCTTCCTGCTTTGAGCACAAAATATCTTAGGTTGTTATGTTTTAGATTTTTGCGTGCGCAACACCTTATTCTAATAATTTAATAAAGTTTCCTATATCATTATATCAAGATTTGATGTAAACACAAGCTTCCGCGAGCAATCAGCAGTTTTTTTAAGCGTAACGGTATCTTGAAGATGTGATACGTAGTCTACATGTTTTGGTACGAAAATGCGCGTTTTGTAACATTCCTACTGGATAAGCTTGGAAAGTCGCAGTTGTCGTTAACCTGATAGGTCTACAAGTACTGGTAAGTAACCGCGCAAGATTTCCCGGGAATTGATATTAAAATATTTCGATTATCTCGCCGTGTCTATATATTTCCGCATAGCTCTCTTGTTATCGGTTAGCCTATATTTCAACCGAAATTAAAAACCAATACCTCCGAGTTCTTTGTTATTTCACCAGACATCGAATATGAACGGTTTATAGCGTTACCAGTCCTTCTCTTTATAAAGCGCTCTTGCCCGCTACTGACAACCTGCATATTTTCGCCCGTTTTACGTGTTACGTCCACAATGCATTTGCTTTGAGATTGTCAGCAAAGAAGGAAGCGTTCGGACTTCGAAGGGGTTGTCGACACCTGATGTATGTGTTGGTTGATCGGCATAATCTTGACTTTTGAGGCTAAATAATTTAATGACTAGGTTAGGCAATTCCGGATAGCGGCTAGCGCTGACCAGGATGTATTTGTCCCGAGTTTTGCGATAATTCAATGGTGGCGATGATTAGAGCCTTTCAGCTCTGAAGGTAGACGACGCAAATTCTCTCGTGATTTTGCACGCAAATAATACGTGGTTATTGCATATTGTAAGAAATGTTCCCTCATTTCAATTATGGGCACTAGGTTATGTTCCAGAAAAGTGTTTCATAATATATATTTTTGAAAATCATGCCAGCCTTGCGATAATCGTTTAATTTTATAAGAGTAGTACATTCATATCCGGTTAAATGAAGTGATTAATATCCAAAAATTTGATACTAATAATTAACTCCATATACATGACGAGTTCCAAATATATATTCTATTGAGCCAACTTGGCTGTATATTCTGACCAATAATCTGGCATTTGTAAATTCTCCCACACGCCGCTCTGTTCTTTTCGTGGTTTTAGTGAGCGCACCTCTGTTTTTTAAGCTTCGGAATTTGTCAATTTGTAAGTCATATATTTATGTTTGTTTTTATTTATTTAGCTAGTATTTGGAGGGATGATCATAAATTAGATTAAATTGTGTGTAATAACTGGAATTACTGCGATAATGCAAAATAAAGTCATAGCAACAAATGTTGGATGAACGCTTTGGGATCGGGCTTTTTAAGTATTTCTGGTGTTACTCGCACATTGGATCACACGATATCACTCCAAATCATAATTAGGTGATAGCACGGCTTATTACCTACACATATAATTAAAAGGTTGAAACATTGCACGAAGCTCTAAAATGGATATAGTGTCAAATAAAATACTATCATAGAGCGTTTCTTGTGCCATTGTTTCCCGCCACAAAAGCGGTTTTGTCGGTGGTGAGAACCACTGATGTAATGGAACCGAGAAAATTTGCTACTTATTTGTCAGTCAGCGTAACCACTCAGTAGCTAGGAAAACTAATGTCACTCTATTTTAGTTGTTAAATCGAGCGTTCGAGATTAGTGTAATTGCCATCCAAACATCGACGTTCTAATTCAAAGGTTGAAATTGCAGCCCGAGAACTAATTTTTGTGGCCTTCGAATGTCCCGACTTTTAATGCATAAAACAAATTTGTTATAAATTTATTATTGTCTCGACATTGACATATTTTTCACTGGTAACAAGTGCTGCTGTAAAGCGCTTTTGTAGTTAGTAGCGTTAGCGGCATGTTGTTTACTTGATGTTGGCTGCGCTCATAAGTGGAGTTTATTTTGCATTTCAAAATTATGAAAACGTTCGGGCACGAACGGAAATTTGTTACGAGGGCCGTGTTTGGACGGAAATTTTTTCTCTTGCTGCACCACTGCTCATCTATGCCATAGTGAAAACGTGCAATGTGCACGTCGGAAACGCCTATTAATGTGAGCTGCTCTGTCTAAAATGCATTGCACTGAGAAATAATTGCGTACTCGCTTGTCATATTGTCATTTGGACGACGTACTGCGGGGCAACCTAGTTGCCAATTGATTTCAACGCTTTGGCCATGGCAAAGAAACGAAACTTCATTTTAAACATTGGTTAAAAGTAAATAAAAACAGTGTATTGTTTGATAGAGTACATATATTAAAAAAGAATAGAAGGTGCGAGTGCACCATAATTTGAAGTTTATTGTTGCAATTGTCGCATGTGGAAAAATTTTTGACCCGCACTTGGTAAATGTATATATTGATCAGATTTTATTGCTACTGTTGTCAACTAACTACTAGTGCAAAATGTGAATATGTATACTTGAAAAGGAACTAGCAAATGTAATCTTAAGAATGTATCATTCGTTTGAATAAAAAATATTTTATTTTTCCATTTTTAAAGTAGCAAACAATGAAAATTGGAAAAATTTGAGAAACTGTTAAAATGTTTGATATATAGCTTCTTTGCAAATGGTTAAAATCGTTACTACCATTCTGCTGTGACACATTTTACGCTCTTTTACTTCATCGTTCGTCTTTTTCCAATACAAATAAAATTTGCCTGAGTTTTATAAAAAGATTACGAAAATATCTAACGATCTGTATACTTCGGAAAACTATTTCAAATAAGTTGTCAACTAATCGTTGCTAGAATTATTTTTAGCATTTCATGTTGTTACGAGCAAGTAGCAAAATTGATATCATAAAATTGAATTCTGAAATCAACTACAAGATTCTAATTCAGATAATTTTACATTTTTACTATGAGATTCTTTTTTCTGTACCACTGTCGAGCAGCATTCTCTGTAAAATATAACCTCAAACCTTGATGGTGACATAGTTAGCCCAATTGCATTGATTGCAAATCAAAATTGGAAGCAATTGGCTCACACCACATAATGTCACAATTACATTTATTTTCAGCTTTCTGAAAACACTACTTGAAAGTCGGCGGGGCAATTTATCATTGCATTGAAAAATGCGACAATGCCAATGGTCTGGCATTGCATCACTAAGTGAGCTTGAAGCCTATCCAAAGAGTCAAGTAAGTAATGAAATCTTTTGAATCTGTGAATTTGGATTTAACGTATCATATAAAATTGATATATTCAATTAAACTCTGCGACTCAGAAACATTAGAGATTTTTGAATGATGCAGTTTTGACATATAATTCAGATGTATGTTATTTCGAAATGTCGCGTTATGTAGTAGTTAGTGCATAAGAAAACGTTAAATCTGAATATAATCAGTTACAAATTAACGCCCGACCATTAACTAGACATGAAAGCACTGAAGTTACGTTTTTTTCGAGATCTATTTAAGAAACCTGTAATGAATAATTAAAACGCAAGTCTTCATTGACATTGTATGCTGTAAAAGATTTCAGGTGCTGATGCATATATTTGAGTTAGCTTACACTCTTAATAGAATGTAGAAAAAATAGTTTTAAACTTTGAAGAAGCGCATAATATAAAATAGCATCGAGAAAAGTTGTTACCTTGAGACTGTTAGAAGTATTCTCTTTTATAATTTAAATATTCTCTGTTCTAATTTTTTACCTTTGTCAATGAAAGGAAGCATGGTACTTCGAGCAAATAATATGAATAATTTTTTTTTTCAAATATTGGAGCATCGTAAAATGAAAAATTTGAAAATATATTTATCGACATTTTAGGAGCAGCGTACAAAAAATTGGGATTGAATAATTTGACAATATCTGACAAGTTGTGTAGAATAGCTTTTTTCGCAAACCTATGTGGTGCGTACAGGAGAGCTGAAGCTTTCGCATTAATGGCAAAAAAATTTTCATAGTGTGATTATTATACAAGCCCACCGATTCCGCTTCTTCCGGAAAAACGCTCGGCGGTGTCTTTGAAACCAGATGTTGGAATACTACGCAGTGCATTTCTTTGAACGAGATTGGTCATGTGACTACCAATGACATCGATGAATTGTGACCATAGTGCGTGATTATCTAGTGCTAGTTCGACAGGTCTTTGTTCTCTTCGTAATGAACTTTTTGGAGTCATTCGAAAAGTTCTGATATTTTGTTTAGTAATGGCCATTATTTTTTGAATTAGAAGTAACTTTCAGCAGCATCTCACAGATTTGCAAAATCCCAAAACACGTATGTCGTGTTAACAGCTATTTTATTTTATCAGCAAATGCACATGGCGTTTCCCGAAATTTAACGATCATTGATATTCGAGTGGGGGTGGATAAAATCAAATTTTTTTTTTTAATTGGATATTTTTAATGTATACCGGATAACAAATATTTTTTATACACAACAGGAGTCTAAAACGTAGGTCGAAACATTAAAAATCGGCAATAAAGCCTTTTTTTTGGTCAATTTCGTTGTGATCGCTAATTGTTTTAGTCATCTCAATCGTTTCGGCGGCAATATGCTGTATTTGGCAATCTATATTCCCACACTTTTTTTTTTTTGCAAGTATGAATTCTTGTCGATCGACGGAGAGCAAAGTTCTATTTTTGGCGTTTACCCGTGCACTCACATCGGCGACAGCTGTAATTTTATACCCAAATTAACATTTGCGTTGACTTGATATCACCTATCAACGTTTATAAATTCACTGCACCAATTTCAAGCGAATAGTAATATTATTATCAATACCGGGATGCAGATATTTAATAGAGATGATAATCAACTTTATTATGCTTTTCTATGGTGCCTGTAATATTTCATAGATAAATCTTGCAAATCTGCGATTGTGTCAATCCTGAATGTTGATTTTAAATAGTGATTAAATATTTCGGCATAACGGCATTTCTGCGTGGTCATAAGGCAAGATGACCTTAATAAACAGCAACAGCGTCAAGCGTGGCTGAGTAAAAAGTTCACATTTTCGAAACATTACTTGGTCAAGAAAGGGAGGGATCACTAAGGAGCTAATTAAAAGTACATCGGAAGGATATGACTTGTCATTTTTTTTTCTGGATATAGCTTATACGTGTTAAATACCACGTATGATCTGTCGGAAGCGCTAATCCAACTTTTTATTTTCGATAATCAATTTTTTTAATACGCTGGTCATGCATGAAACTGCTAGTAAAATGCTGCCAATCGTACGTAGTTTAAAATCTGGGATATTTATCGTTATGTTTAGTCGTCACCCCTGTTTTGTTTTATTTTTAAATTTGTTTGTTCTACCTTGAAGTTTTGTTTCTACTTGACTTTTTGTTCTGTATGGCATCACTTTGGCGCAATTTATTTACGACTGAATTTAAATTGTGTTTTAGAATAACTTATTTTCTGTTTGTTGGTTTTCAAACTTCACAAACCCGGGACGCAATTACTATTAAAATTCGAGCAATGAAGCACGGAAAAAGAATTTGATTTTATTGCAATTGGAACAAACAAATAAGAGTTTTACATGTCATGCATGACAAACCGGTGCTACATGTGAGACTTGTGCACATGAAGGAATATATATCGCGACAGGGTGTCTGATATCTGATAATGCGTACTTCTCTTCAACATTAATTTCCAGGATTTCGGGTTGATGCGGTCGAATAAAAATTATTTATAAAATTGATTGTTATTTCGCGACACACCTTCTACGACAATCATTACTTTATTTTCAAATTCACGTATAATTTTTTTTTAAATCATCAAAGAATTTCGTGTACCATCGCAAAAAAATAACCTTCGGTGTTATCATTCATATTGGCGTAATTGTAATATATGAAAACGTCGCTAATCGTTGGTAGTAACTAATATCAATTCCTGTATGAATCAATCGTTGTCTTGTTAGGTGGAAGGAGTTAAACAAATGTGCCCTTTACGCGAAGAAGTACGCTTCGCAACTGCTACCGATGAATTCGCTAACGGTTTGAACCAGTGGTTCTTAACCTTTTTTGCATTATTTACCCCTTTACAAACACAAAATTTTTTGATTTACCCCTAATATCTCCATTGGTGATCATTTATTAAAAATTTGTCAAGCGAAGTACAAAGAGCCCCAACGTTAGACGCGAAGTCTCTATCTCTCCCTTTTCTTTCTACCCCATCTTCTCCGCGAGAGGGTGATTCGGTGGAGAAAGAGCGGTGGGGAGAGAGTGACGGGAGGGAGTAAGTATGGAGGGGAGGAGACAGTGTTGGATGGGAGAGTGACGTGAGGAGGTAATAATTGAAGTGGGAAGGAGAGAGTGTTGGGGTCGGAGAGTGGATTGGGGGTAGAATAGAGGGGGAATTTTAAATATTTGGATCTTGAAAGCTACCCTTCTTTTTTATTCAAAAAATTTCCTACGCTGCTTTTGCGACAATTCGCATTCGGCCTCGATAACAGTTGCCAGAACCACCTTCTGCAAGAGTCGCGATATTGTGATGCAATAATAGGCTAATACACATCGGTCATGGGCTAATACATATTTCTCGCAAGTTATCCTCTCAATAACACAATGATTCTCGTACCAAAACAAGCAAATTGGTGCGGTTTTTGTTTTCCAAAAATATTTTTTTACAATAACGAGATTCACCCCTAAGAATGACAAAATTTACCCCCAGGGGTATATTCACTCCAGGTTAAGAACTGCTGGTTTGAACGAAACTCGGATAACAGAAAGGCTCCGCTTTAATTTAATATTACCTGAAAGAGCGCTTTTGCGTGTATCCATGCTGTTTGGATTGAGTTAACATAAAAGCTAAGGCGCCTAACGTGGTACAATCGGTCAAAGCACTTCTTTCAACTGTGAAGCACTTTCGCACTTATAATTCCCGTAAGTAAACACTGGTATCCATCATTTTCTTTTGTATTTCATTATCATAATAAATGCGAAATAAAAATGAGTTCAAATGGGTTCGACTCCCATAAGTACCGATTGTGTCATCGTATAAAATCTCATGTAATAAGTTTACTATTAGCGCACTTTTTTTTGCGAAAATTTCTATTTATATTTTTAGGGCCTGCGAAATAGCACCTATTTTCGATTTTGAAGGGAAAAAATTCAAAGCTGACAAAAATTTATTTTGTGAGTTTGACAAAAAAGTTGCGTACTAGTACTTTTGTAACCCAATTTTGCATTACATACCGATATTAGCTGGAATTCTAACCTATGTGGTGCATACAGGAGAGCTGAAGCTTTCGCATTAATGGCAAAAAAGATTTTCATAGTGTGATTACTATACAAGCCCACCGATTCCGCTTCTTCCGGAAAAACGCTCGGCGGTGTCTTTGAAACCAGATGTTGGAACACTACGCAGTGCGTTTCTTTGAACGAGATTGGTCATGTGACTACCAATGACATCGATGAATTGTGACCATAGTGCGTGATTATCTAGTGCTAGTTCGACAGGTCTTTGTTCTTTTCGTAGTAAACTTCTTGGAGCCATTGGAAAGTTCTGATATTTTATTTAGTAATTGCCATTATTTTTTGAATTAGAAGTAACTTTCAGCAGCATCTTACAGATTTGCAAAATCACAAAACACGTATGTCGTGTTAACAGCCATTTTATTTTATCCGCAAATGCACATGGCGTTTCCCGAAATTTAACGATCATTGATATTCGAGTGGGGGTGGATAAAATCAAATATTTTTTTTATCTGGATATTTTTAATGTATACCGGATAGTCGAATAACAAATATTTTTTATACACAACAGGAGTCTAAAACGTAGATCGAAACATTAAAAATCGGCAATAAAGCCTTTTTTCTGGTCAATTTCGTTGTGATCGCTAATTGTTTTTGTCATCTCAATCGTTTTGGCGGCAATATGCTGTATTTGGCAATCTATTTTCTTTTTTGCAAGTATGAATTCTTGTCGATCGACGGAGAGCAAAGTTCTATTTTTGGCGTTTACCCGTGCGCTCACATCGGCGACAGCTGTAATTTTATACCCAAATTAACATTTGCGTTGACTTGATATCACCTATCAACGTTTATAAATTTACTGCACCAATTTCAAGCGAATAGTAATATTATTATCAATACCGGAATGCAGATATTTAATAGAGATGATAATCAACTTTATTATGCTTTTCTATGGTGCCTGTAATATTTCATAGATAAATCTTGCAAATCTGCGATTGTGTCAATCCTGAATGTTGATTTTAAATAGTGATTAAATAATTCGGCATAACGGCATTTCTGCGTGGTCATAAGACAAGATGACCTTAATAAACAGCAACAGCGTCAAGCGTGGCTGAGTAAAATGTTCACATTTTCGAAACATTACTTGGTCAAGGAAGGGAGGGATCACTAAGGAGCTAATTAAAAGTACATTGGAAGGATATGACTTGTCACTTTTTTTTCTGGATATAGCTTATACGTGTTAAATACCACGTATGGTCTGTCGGAAGCGCCAATCCAACTTTTAATTTTCGATAATCAATTTTTTTAATACGCGGGTCATGCATGAAACTGCTAGTAAAATGCTGCCGATCGTACGTAGTTTAAAATGTGGGATATTTATCGTTATGTTTAGTCGTCACCCCTGTTTTGTTTTATTTTTAAATTTGTTTGTTCTACCTTGAAGTTTTGTTCTACTTGACTTTTTGTTCTGTATGGCATCACTTTGGCACAATTTATTTACGACTGAATTTAAATTGTGTTTTAGAATAAGTTATTTTCTGTTTGTTGGTTTTCAAACTTCACAAACCCGGGACGCAATTACTATTAAAAATACGAGCAATGATGCACGGAAAAAGAATTTGATTTTATTGCAATTGGAACAAACAAATAAGAGTTTTACATGTCATGCATGACTAACCGGCGCTACATGTGAGACTTGTGCACATGAAGGAATATATATCGCGACAGGGTGTCTGATATCTGATAATGCGTACTTCTCTTCAACATTAATTTCCAGGATTTCAGGTTGATGCGGTCGAATAAAAATTATTTATAAAATGGATTGTTATTTCGCGACACACCTTCTACGACAATCATTACTTTATTTTCAAATTCACGTATAATTTTTCTAAAATCATCAAAGAATTTCGTGTACCATCGCAAAGAATAATCTTCGGTGTTATCATTCGTATTGGCGTAATTGTAATATATGAAAACGTCGCTAATCGTTGGTAGTAACTAATATCGGTTCGATTGCATGTATCAATCATTGTCTTGTTAGGTGGAAGGAGTGAAACAAATGTGCACGGCTATGCCGTTTACGCGAAGGAGTACGCTTCGCAACTGCTACCGGTGAATTCGCTATGTGTTTGAACCAGTGGTTCTAACCTTTTTTGCATTATTTACCCCTTTACCAAACAAAATTTTTTGATTTACCCCTTATTTCACCATTGGTGATCATTTACAGTTACAGACAGTGTTGGATGGGAAAGTGACGTGAGGAGGTAATAATTGAAGTGGGAAGGAGAGAGTGTTGGGGTCGGAGAGTGGATTGGGGGTAGAATAGAGGGGGAATTTTAAATATTTGGATCTTGAAAGCTACCCTTCTTTTTTTTTCAAAAAATTTCCTACGCTGCTTTTGCGACAATCCGCAGTCGGCCTCGATAACAGTTGCCAGAACCACCTTCGGCAAGAGTCGCGATATTGTGATGCAATAATAGGCTAATACACATCGGTCATGGGCTAATGCATATTTCTCGCAAGTTATCCTCTCAATAACACAATGTTTCTCGTACCAAAACAAGCAAATAGGTGCGGTGTTTGTTTTCCAAATTTTTTTTTTACAATAACGAGATTTTCCCTTAAGAATGACAAAATTTACCCCCAGGGGTATATTCACTCCAGGTTAAGAACTGCTGGTTTGAACGAAACTCGGATAACAGAAAGGCTCCGCTTTAATTTGCAATATTACCTGAAAGAGCGCTTTTGCGTGTATCCATGCTGTTTGGATTGAAACCCTCTTCCAGCTATTGACCCAATTTATTTGACATGGTCTTTTTAAAGGTATTTTTTTTGTCAACCACTAAATCCTAAAGCTTCTCCTATGGATTTTTAGAAGCGTGTGCTAGAGTTCTATTCAGCAATATATCTTTAAAACACACTCCGAAAAAAAATTCTAAAATTTCTAAAAAAAAAAATTGGATCTTGAGAAATTCTGTGTACAGTAGAGGGTCAATGATTAATTCCTAATTAATTAATTTTTTTTTCAACGTTTTCATCTACTTTTTCCTAACACAACATTACCGAAACGCCTATTATAGCATAAATGGTTATTACTCTGAAATTCACAATTGTATTTACAGGTGTATCAAGTTCAAGGCTAAAATTACTGATTTTGATGACGTCACAGCTCTCATTATTACTGCACAGACCACCCCCAACGCAAAAAAATTAAATTTTTTCGACGGAAATGCGCGTAGAACGGCGTAAACAATCCCATACGCGCATTTACGCGTTAAAATTACCATTAATTTTACGATTTTTTTTCAACTACAAAAAATCTCCATACTTCTGCCAACTATGGAGCAGTCGAAATCATATTTATTAAAACAACACAGCACCAGGGATAGTATATATGACTGAAAATACATGCTAAACCAACAATAAGTCATTACAAAGGAGTATTTCCTGTCTGAGCTGAGTCGACATTTTCAGACATCTGACAGGCGATTTTGAAATCCACGCTATTTATAGAATTCGCACTTTGCGTCACGGCTGGAAGGTTCTATCGCTTCTCTCATATCAGGCGATAACGTCAACAAAGAGCTAAGAGCGATGTTAACAGTAGTTTACCTAGCACAAAATTAAGCGTAAATATTCTCTCATATGAGCTTAGCTGCTGTAAAAGGGTTTTAACATAAAAGCTAAGGCGCCTAACGTGGTACAATCGGTCAAAGCACTTCTTTCAACTGTGAAGCACTTTCGCACTTATAATTCCCGTAAGTAAACACTGGTATCCATCATTTTCTTTTGTATTACATTATCATAATAAATGCGAAATAAAAATGAGTTCAAATGGGTTCGACTCCCATAAGTACCGATTGTGTCATCGTATAAAATCTCATGTAATAAGTCCATTGTTAGGGCTCTGGAAATTTTCGAATACCTGATGATTTAGAATCGAATCGAATAATTTTTTCGAATTACTTGGGAGACATATAATTGTATGCAACTTATTTATTGTAATTGGTTCTGACAACAAATGGATTACAAAAATATAAAATACATCACTTAGACCAAAGCTGCGCAAACCGCGGGCCGCATGCGGCCCGCTGGACTGTTTTTTGCGGCCCGCTCTATAAGTTCGTAAGCAGACTCATGTTTTTACCATGTTGTATTTCGGTATATAGGCTCAAGTATGTTTCGTGATTTTGGTGTGAGCATTCCTGCCATCTATCTACATTCAAATGGCGGTTCATATTATTACGTATGTGTCAAGGTTTGCACCCCGGTGGACATCGACGTCAGTTTTTTTTTTATTTCTCGCAGAACTGTGCGTTCTGTTCAAGGAACTCGAAGGATATTGTGCGATTATTGAACACAAACGCTGAGCGCAAGTATAGGAATGAATTTCCTAAACTTGCAAATTAATTTCATTCTGATTGTTTTCTTGCGTGTCTGCTTTGATCGTGTTTATCGCCAACGTAAAATAGAAAGTCAGCAATATCTTTGGTACTGGTCCCGGGACTCGTTGTCCTTTTATGTTCGTATTTTTTTTTATCTAATGCTTGCGCTAAATAAGATTTCGGAAATGTCGTCCCTGCGTGTCCGTCAATAATGCTGATGAAACTGAGGTAATTGCATTGCTGCATATTGGTCACAAATCAGTATATATACGCTATTCGTCCAGAAATCTTTGTAATGTTACTTCAGTATTGGTGTTTCAAAACGACCCACTCCCGTACATTATGCTCATTTGAACATTGAGGCAGTTTCACAGCTACTGAAAATGAATGAATAAAAACACTATAACGCAAATATAACACTCAATTTCGACGTGGTATGTGTCTTCTCGTTTGGTCGTCAAAAAACCGCATGTGTCATGTCCACGCCCCGTGTTAACAAATATTCGAATAGTGTACTGCTATTCTAATATCGACTTAGTGCCTACTGAGTAACCAGAAAGCAATTATTAAATTGATTGATTTTATGTTAATTACCTTGCCTTTTATGTATTATGTAAATTACCTACACCGAAATATGGTATTAATACCTGGTATTAATGTCTGTCTCGTACAAACGTTTGCGGCCGCAACGAATTTCTTAACGTGAAAGTGGCCCGCGAGACGAAAATAGTCTTAGACAGATTGTTGAGCGTTCACACATGATAAAAATTTTATCAATATTGGACTACAGAAAAATAGTCATAGATCTGAATTCTTCGAAAAAATATGGCTTGAATAAAACCAAGGAAGGAAAAAAACAAGATGGCAGCAATTCGAAATTTTTCTCTCACCGTTTCGGATAATTTACTATTAGATACGAAATGCCCAGCCCTACCCATTGTACATTTTTACTGCAAAAAATTAAAACACAGATGCGATCGAAGGTTATCAATTGATAAGCTAAGACTATTATTTTGCTTATATTTGGTTATTCATGATGCTACTACGAGAGAATGCCATACCTTCGGCGTCATGATTATTTCTATATATAATTTTTCAGGTTTCCTCACTTATGGAAATGGAATCTTGACGACATTCTCTGTTTACAGAAAAAAAATAAAAGTTGTAAATACAACAAGTATTCAAGTATAAATGTGAGTTTCATCAAAGATAACTAAGATTGGCTCACAAATAAAATGCATTGAACCACACTTATGTGAAAAGGTCTTTAAATATAAAAAGAGACTGTTGGACTGTTTTACTCTACTCGGTGACATACGTACATTGATCCTGTATGCATACAAACGAATTATATTCAAAGCTTTAACATGGGTCGACCCAACTGTTTATGTGATGATTGTAAACAGATTCTTGATTACAAATCAAAGCAATTGTGTTTATCACTTTACAATACAATCGCCATATTTGATGTTATAGCAAGATGAATATGAAATATATATTCATTGAAATTTATTGCATTAATAAATTTCATACAATTCTGTTGTGGAATTTTTATCACAACACAGTATTGTTTATTTTTGTATAAATTTTCTTTCAATCATTCTCGTTTTAAACATTTATATCTGCAACAGTGGAATACTTGGGCGTAAAGGCAACGGCGATCGACATTTTTGTCATATCTAAATTATATCAATGCTGTCCTGACGAATTGTTATACAAAACATGTTATATATATATTGTTTCAATATATATATCACTTGTGTGTTAAATTGAAGATTCAAACAATATTTTATGACCAGTTTGTGGCAAAAACCAGATAGTCTATCTATGGTTGTCAATGCCGCCATAACACAAATCTTTTTATTACTTCATATCTTCTTATCAACACTGCCTATTCAGCGTGAGAAATCTTGTGACAAACCAGGCCGGCATGGCTTTGTCTCATCTTCAACGTCAACTTCTTCAAAAACATTACAAATTACACTTACATACACAGCGGTAGGGAGGGGGTTGGGGGTTCTGGGAAATGGTGGTGGACCCTGGGAGGGAGAGAAAAACACAGCATTGCAATCATAATTAGGCGATTTTGGTTTTGTCAATTCTGATATAAAATATTCAATATTCTGGTAATGACATGGTCAGATGGAAGTCCTTTCATTTTTATTTCCAAATCATTGGCATTAAACGTGACATTACGGTTGAATGTCGTTGCCTTCTTTTTTTAATCAAAAATTAAGTGACAAGCAATCCTTTTTACGTGTCCCAATATACAAATATGGGTGTTTGGACAGCCCATGTGTGATGGCAGTTCCAGCCTACTTCGGAAATTGCATAAATAATTATTTTAATGTTTGTGAACGAATTTCTGAAGACAATCATATTACTATAATTATGTACACTGTTTTACGTTTTTTTATTGATATAATATATTTAGGAATGAATTATTTTATCTATCATGCTATGTCTTTATTTAGCTATACGTTTTGTCATAATCATTTATTCCATGCAATTTCTTTAGGATATTTTTAACAGGAAAAGAAGATATAGTTTACGAGAGCGACAATGGAAAAACAAATTTAACAGGGCATGCCATGGCTTTTTTTATTTTTATTTATTTTTTGTTATAAATGAATTTGAACTCATTCCTGACATTGGCGGAATTTCAGTTTAAAAACTAGAACTAGTTACTAATGATGGTTTTAGACGCAGAACTATAGAGATAGAAGTTGATTTCCAGAGCAATTAAAGATTGTGGATATGGAGATACTTATCAAAGGCAGAACTTTAAGATGGAGATTCGAAGACTATTTTTAGCAGAATTATGGAGATTCAAGTTACGAAGACACTTTTCAGAAGAACTGAACATTGAAGACATAACAAACCTTGGAGATGCAGAAATGAAGGTTGTAAGTTAGGCCTAGTTAATTTTAATGTTATATTAGCTTTTCAGTGGCAGAAATATAAAGATTCAAGATCGAAGGCAGAAGATTAAAGATGAAGATACGAAGAATACTTTTGGAAGCAGAATTATGAAGATTCAAGTTACGAAGTATTTTCAGAAGGAGATATGAACATTGAAGGCGTGCAGACACCTTGGAAATGCAGACATGAAGGTTGTAAGTCTAGCATATTTAATTTTAATGTTACATTAGCTTTTCAGTGGCAGAAATATAAAGATTCAAGATGCGGAGAAGATTTTAAGAAACAAAACTATATAGAGATTAAAGATATGAAAATATTTTTGAAGAAAAGAACTACAAAATGAAAATATGAAGATACATTCGAATGCAGAAGAATAAAAATGAAGATACGAAGACTACTTTTAGAAGCAGAATTAAGAAGATTCGAGTTACGTAGACATTTCTCAGAAGGAGATATGAACATTGAAAGCACGAAGACACCTTGGAGATGCAGAAATGAAGGTTGTAAGTTAGGCCTAGTTAATTTTAATGTTACATTAGCTTTTCAGTGGCGGAAATATAAAGATTCAAGATGCGGAGAAAATTTTTAAGAAACAGAACTATAGAGATTGAAGATATGAAGACATTTTTGAAGAAAAGAACTATAAAATGAAAATATGAAGATAGAATCGAATGCAAAAGAATAAAGATGAAGATACGAAGACTACTTTATGAAGATAGAATCGAATGCAAAAGAATAAAGATGAAGATACGAAGACTACTTTTGGAAGCAGAATTATGAAGATTCAAGTTACGAAGTATTTTCAGAAGGAGATATGAACATTGAAGGCACGAAGACACCTTGGAGATAAAGAAATGAAGATTGTAAGTTAGGCCTAGTTAATTTTAATGTTACATTAGCTTTTCAGTGGCAGAAATATAAAGATTCAAGATACGGAGAAGATTTTCAGAGACAGAACTATAGAGATTGAAGATATGAAGACATTTGTCAAGAAAAGAACTACAAAATGAAAATATGAAGATACATTCGAAAGCAGAAGATTAAAGATGAAGATACGAAGACTAGCTGTGGAAGCAGAATTATGAAGATTCAAGTAACAAAGCCATTTTTCAGAAGGAGATCTGAACAATGAAGGCTCGAAGACACCTTGGAGATGCAGAAATGAAGGTTGTAAGTTAGGCCTAGTTAATTTTAATATTACATTAGCTTTTCAGTGGCAGAAATATAAAGATTCAAGATGCGGAGAAGATTTTAAGAAACAGAAGTATAGAGATTGAAGATATGAAGACAATTTTGAAGGAAAGAATTCTAAAATGAAAATATGAAGATACATTTGAATGCAGAAGATTAAAGATGAAGAAACAAAGACTACTTTTGGAAGCAGATATATGAAAATGCAAGTTCCGAAAGGTTTTCAGAAAGAGATATGAACATTGAAGGCACGAAGACATCTTGGAGATGCAGAAATGAAGGTTGTAAGTTAGGCCTAGATAATTTTAATGTTACATTAGC